GTGTGTGTGTGTGTGTGTGTGTGTGTGTGTGTGTGTGTTTCTGCTACAGAGAGAGAACCACTCGAAACAGTTACTATCAAAGTGAGGTCTTTGATGTAAAGTGAGGATATTTTCCCGGTCCTCACTTTGTTTGCAGCTCTGCTGTGCTTTACTAGTTAGGTTTAGAGGAATGGTGTGAATTAAGTTTTGGTTCAGGTTAGTGTTAGGAATAAACTAGTAATGGTTAGGGTTAGTGAAAATGTCTGGGTAAATGGCATAAACGCAGTTACAAAAATGAATGGAAGTCAACACAAAGTCCTCAGTATAAGGATGAGTGTGTGTAATGGATAAAAAAGAGATAGAATCTCAAAGAAGACAAAACTATCTTTAAAACGAAAAAGGCAAAAACAACAGAATATGTGTTTTTAGGTGCTACAGAATGAGTTCTTCCTGTTTCTAAAATGTTAAAGTTTAGAAAGCAAAACTACTTTTTTCTTTTTGCTTTGTTTCACCTCATTTCATTGATGAAAGCTTTGTTTTGTAACCTCATCTTTTTAAAACTTTTTGATCATTTTATGTTTGACAGTTTTAGTTGTTGCTTTATTAAAGCATCTTCCTGCTCACGGAGGAGAAATGGTAACAATGAGCAGTGAATCACTTTTATAACGTCAGCTCCGTTCACTTTAATTCAACTCGTTCCTTTTTGATTTCGTGCCAGAACAAAGCAAAAGTAATTACAACACAGAGAAAGTAAACAGGTTCAAAGTGAATGCAGTTTAATTCAATCCAATCATAATCAAATTTTATTCCAACCAGTCAGATTCAGGTAATAAATATTTATGAAACGCTCACTGAGGAAACTTCCCTTTGATTCAACCTTGTCAGCAAACAACAGGAGGCAGAAGAATAAAACAGGTTGTTCCAAATGAAGTAACACCAAGAAAACGTCTGTTTTTAATCAGATTTTAAACAAGAAATGGTGTGAGATTTTGAAATATTTTCAAATTAAAGCTACAAACTTGATTCCAGCTTCATTTCTTCAGTGTTGTAGTGTTGCTGTTTTCCTTTCATTTATCAAAGGGTTAAGGCAGTAAAAGCAAAGTTATAATTAGCCTGATCTGTTTAACTGACAAAAAACGTGAACTTCTTTTAAGTATTTTCTTTTCTTTTTATCATCTGAGGCATATAAAGTTTAAATAGTGTCCCGAGCTGCCTCTGTGGGGTGCCGTTTGTAAAGTTGCAGTCAAAAATTACCACCAATATTTTTTGTTTTATTTAGCCTTTTATAAGAAAAAAAGAACAGATTTATTTTTTCAAAGTCAGTTTTTCAC